TTACCATTTGTACAAGTACACAAACCCCCCGTTCTCGTCGTCGGCGGCCTCGATGGCGCCATCGGCGGCCTCGATGGCGCCATCGGCGGCTTTTTAGAATATTTGATTCTGGACTCTCGGGAAAAACCCGTCGTCGGCGCCGTTGGGCTCGCCGTCGGCGCCCTAGTACAAATCTTCATATTTTGGTTCTTTTTGTTCCAAATTCGCTCCTTTTTACATCTTTTTGCTCCAATGACCATAATTCAACATACCAGCAACAAAACATCAAAAATACCCTTCTTTAAAGTGAAATATCATCAATATTAGTATAAAATAGGTATGAAAATCTCAACATATTTTTCTTTGGTCACCAACTACAGCCTATGTGGCTCAAAGCTTGTGCAGATCCTGGTTATGGCTCTTATAGCCCATGAACGTCATCACAACTCACTACTACAGCCTACGTGGCACACAACTCTTGCAGCTCACAACTCTAGCCCCTTCAGCCTATCAATGTCATCACAGCTCAAAACTACGATCTACTTGACCAACAACAACCTATGTGACTTACGACACATGCAACTCTCGACTGCGGCCTCTACAACCTATGGGTGTCATCACAGCTCACCACTACGGTTTATATGATCAACTAGGACATATGTGACTCACAGCTCGTGTAGCTCCTCGCTATTGCCTTTGTTACCTATGAATGTCATCACAACTCACTATTACAGCCTATGTGGCCAACAACATCTTACGTGGCTTGCAGCTCTTGTAGGTCCCAACTGTGGATTCTACAACCTACAGACGTCATCACAACTCACCACTTTAGCTTATGTGACCAACTGCAGCTTATGTGGCTCACAACTCTTGCAACTATCGACTCAAGCCCCTGTGGCTTACAGACGTCATCACAACTCACTATTGACGCTTACGTGACCAACTAAAACATACATGGTCCACAGCTCGTGCAGCTCTCAACTCCAACTTTTGTGGCCTAAGGACGTCATCGCAACTCAGTACTATGGCCTATGTAGTCCATTAGCTATGCGGCTCCTGACTCCAACCCCTATGGTTTAAGGAGGTCATCACAACTAACCACTGCGACCTATATAAACAATTACAATCTACATGGTCAAAAACTTGTGCAGCTCCCAATTTTGGTCTCTGCTTCTTACATATGTCATCATAGCTAACCACCACGACTAATGTGACCAATTAAGGCATATATGGCTCACAGTTTCTGCAACATTCTACTATGACCTTTATAGCAAACTAATGCTCCTGAAGTAACTATTAGCGAGTTGCATGACTAACTACTACAATGACTTCAACTATGACCTACACGATAAGCTCACGCTACAGACACCTTCTACAATATTCACTGTGGAGTATGGCATCCATAACAATCGATTAGGGCTCTTGCAACCCGCTATCACTGAAAACTACATTCATTATTGTCAGATTATAACTATTATCGATGAATTATTGTTGTACATTTATAATGCTCAATTTGTAATTCCATCTTTCTTAATTCAGGAGAAGAGTGAACAAGTATACTACTATCACTACAGGAAAAGATGCTATAAGTGACGTAATTACAGACGACTTAATTTTCATTGCAAATATTTGTTTAATTTCTCATGGCTTCGCGAAGACTAATTAATCCTTAAATTTTTCAACAGTATTACTACTCTGGGATCCATCTATATTTAAGAAAAAAAATTTGACGGTTATTTAGACTTAACGATGTTTTTAACTATCAATTATTATGTTAATTAAAACTGACGAGTACCTACCGTGACTAAATCCTCATAACTTATCCTTTTTTATAGTCAAAATCTTCCTTTTTTTATCCCTTATGTGCCCCCCTCTTCCTGGTTTCACCCTAAATCTCTCCCCCTCCCTCCTGATTTCGCCCTAAATTCGTCCCCCCTCCCGATTCTCTTCTCCCCACGATGGTCGATCGCTCTGATGACATTCCTCTCCTTTTGACGCTCCCGATTTGAGGCACGGCTCATGGCTCCAATGCTAGCTCTTATATCACACCAGATAGAGACAAGTAAGGTGACATACATACCATCTGTAGGTAACGTGGCATACATGTAAACAATGAAGTTTAGGTGTTATATTCTAAATACATAGGAATTGAGTATGCAAAAAATAATGTATGCAAAAAAAAAAAAATTTTGAATTTTTTTTCCACACACATCACCTATATAATGAAAAGTATGACGACATAGCAAAACAAAATTTTTGTGAAATAATTTTGTAAATTGTTGGCTCCTAACAGATGCATCATCATCAATTTTTTTTGCTTGGCATGAATCTCGAGGCATTTGACAAGAAACTCAACATATTTTTTCAGCAAGAAATATTTAAGCTCAAATTCAAAATCATCCAGAACTTCAATTTCAACAAACTTACAATCAAACTGATTAACTCAATGAGACAAACCCAAAAATATTAATATTGATCTAATTCGACTGAACATAAGTCTTAGTCAAGCTATTAAACCACATTTAAAGTCATTGAGTGTTTAATTGAATGGTCAAAGAAACTCCAAATTTAATGTGCCTGTAGTGAAATCAAACTTCTCAATGAGAGGAATCTAAGGAGACTAAGATAACCTAATTCTAAGATCATTAAGGCCATCAAGTTCTCATAATATCTTCTATGATTAAGAGAAATCAATGGAATGTTCGATCGGGTAGTTAAAATGGTTATTCGCCAAAAGGCCAAAATGCTTCTATTCTAGGGACTATAATGGACTCCCTCTATTCACTTGAAAGGAAGAGAAGGAAGAAGAATGAGCCCACTTCCAGTGTTGTTATATACTAAAAATCCAGTGACAACTCTGGAGTCTAGAACTGTCGTTAGTGGGCCCACCCTTGCTCTCCACTTTTGATGGACTCTGCAGAGTAACAACGTGCATTGCAGAGTAACAAAGTATCTAGTGGAGTAACGAAGTACACTTCAAAGTAACAACACATATTCAGGAGCAACGAAGTATTCTATTAAGTGACTCTCACATATACTGTGAAACACAATGTTCTAAATATTTTGCAATGATACACCCGAAACACTGTGTATCAAAGGACCAACGATAATTTCCAACATCAACTACTTTCAATCATTATACAACAAATCTTTCTATATACTAATATTATATTTGGAAAACCCTGTAACCATTTCTCGGCTGAAGGACAAGGGTTTATTTTTGTACTTGCGAACTTATAGTGAATCATTTCTACTGGGCTAGACCCCTTTTCCACGTTTAAATTTTTGGTCTCTTCTATAATTTCTTTTATTATTTATGTGTGATAGATTTTGTACAAAACTGAGAAGTTAGATTATTACTCTTTGTAAATTTTATGGCGCGTCTTGGCATGTTGGTGACGGGGTCACTATAAGTCCCCTCAAGTCAATGATTTGATCCACCGTGGCCCGGCGACTCTGTAATATTAGGCACATGGCGCAGACACCCAATCATAGGAGCCCGAACACAAAGGGGAAGCGGTATATATTTCCGCACGTGTGTGTGTTGATGTCAGTGTTGACCTAAAAAGAATATTTCAAATTTCTTATAAAAACTCTTTTTGTTGACTCAACTCGATCAAAATGTTTTTGAAACTATGCTCAATTCTTATAGTTATTTTTATCTTGGTCATCTTAGTTATTGGAGAAAAAAAAAATGTTATAAATATTTGATTAAATTTTAATCAGAACTGTTGTAAGCTTAATAAATGAACAATTAATTAAATTTCATATCACATTATCTTAAAAATTTAAGCTTGTTTTAGAACAATTTTGTTTTTGTTTTTTTTTTCCTTTTATTTTTAAAGATATATTTCTTTAGTGCTTTTTTTACATTTTTTTCTAAAATAAAAAATATATATTTTCTATTTTCTATTTGGCGTTTTGCTCTTCCCAGCTGATAGGTTCGATGTAATATTACCTTTTCAGTTCATTGTCTTGCCATGCTTTGAAACAAAAGAAGATTTACATACATACCACTCAATTTCTATATATTTACATATCGAACACCTAAACTTCAATTTTTAACACACCACCTTAAAAGAACACCTAAACTTCAATTCCTAAACTTCAATTTTTAACACACCACCTTAAAATGGTGGCATTTTTTGTGATATGAAAGTTTTGAGTGGTAGAAATGTAAAAAAAAAAGAAAAGTGTAGGCGTACGATATGTAAATATGCCAGAATTGGATGTCATGTATGCAAAATGCTCATTAAAGTTTAGTTTACTTGTGGCCGAGTGACAAAAAATTATTGCATACGGTATCCGATCTTCATCATCCATCCACCCTCCATCAACTTAAAAAAAAAAATTAAAAAATTAAAAATAGGGTCCACCGTTATCCATCCATATTTTCTGTGATGAACGGTGAATATCGGACACCAATGCATTTCTACATACGGTGTCCGTATGGAATAATTTTTCCAGAGCGACAGGGGCTTTTGGTGATGTCTATATTTTCGTTGGGAGTCACTTCTAATACTCTCAATTTCGGCATCTAAATTATATAGCATTTTATTTTTATCACCCCTTTATTAACATAAATATTATTTTGTTTACTATGTAAATATATAAATATAAATAATTATCCAAATAAATTTACTTTATTGTTAGTATAAATGAAAAAAATTCAATTACATATTTAAATAAACACTAATCTATTTCCATACAAAAATTCAATTACATATTATCATGACTAGGCCAGGGCATTGTGCGGGTGGCCCAACGGCCCCGCAATAAGCCTACGGGTCATGAGTGGGCTTGACAGAAAAAAATATATATATATATATATATATTTGGAGGGCCTTACCTGGCCGGTCTGCATTGACTTAGTCAAAGCTAGCCACCCGCCCGCCCATGTGAAACCCGGCCCGAAAAAAAATTATATACCAACTTTCATTTAAGACGGAAATTTCTATAGGATTTATAGTGGTCTTAAAGACTATCATACTATACATATAAAAAAAATGTTGGCATGCAATTTTTATATAGTTATGTCTGAAATCTAAACTTACGCATTCACATATTTAACACATAATCTTCATATCTACATATCTGACATTCATTTCTTACGTATCTACATATTTACACCTAATCTTCATAATATTTTTTTATCGACTCTATTTTTTTCGGTAAGGGCTCACGGGCAAACCCAACTCATCTAGTAGGCTGGTCTGACTATGAAATTCTAAATAGAAATCCGGCTCAGGCCAAGCCCAATCCCTCTTTGACTGACCTAAAGCACGAATAAACCGAGCCGGAGTCTAATCACGATTAAACATTTATATTTACATAACATTTTGACACTACACACCAATGCATATGCTATTTTTGAGATATGTAAACACATAAGCATTATAAATACATGAAAATATTAAAGAATTGAATGCTATATGTGCAAATATAAAAATCTAGGTGTAATAATGTAAACACATCAAGAATTGTTTGCTATGTTCATGAATGTCCCAAAAGATACAGGGCTCAAACCAAATTTACATCCTATCCATAAATTTGAAATTTCTTTACATAAATAATAAGATTTAATATTTTTTTTTCTCTACATAAATAATAAATTTTAATTTTTTTCTCATAATTTAAGCAATTTTATAATTTTGCTCCCCTTAACATGTTTGTTTGCTTAATAGTCTAAAATTTTAAATATTTAATGATTTTGTTAGTTCCACCTTGATTATATATATATTATATATATATATATATATATATCACATATCAAATAAAATATTATTCAAAATTCAAAATATATTAGAATGCAATGATTTTAAAAACATTGCTTTATTGACTTTACATATGACTGACGATGAGTTCTGTTTATTACAGTAACAAATTAATAGTAAACAAAGTCTTCATGATCTGTATAACTTACAACCTATTTGGCGAAACACCTATATTTGTGTACATAAGACGTACACAGCACTGCGTACGTTAGGGGTTATTCAGGGGATACAGGAGGGTTATATCCGGGTTATACCCCCCTTTAACATCCGTGTAACTCCCTTATAACCTCCGTGTAACTTATCTGTACCCATGAAACTACAGAAACACGGAACTCATTTGTAGGTTACACTTAGTTTGCAAAGAGGTTACAGGAGGGTTACAGAGGGGTATAAATGGGGTATAACCCGGACATAACCCCCATACCCCCTGAATAACTCATGGACGTACGCAGCGCTGTGTACATCTTATGTACGCAAATACGCAGCATTGAGTACGTCTTATGTACGCAAATATTTTCCCAACTTCAGAACTTCCTCATAACTCCTTCAAAATAAAAATATGTGTAGAATACTAAATGCTGGACTCCCAACCAATAGACTTTAGGGGCAATTACATACATAGCACTCGATATTTTGTTATTTACAAAACTAACACCCTCTTTCATTCGTTTTATAAAATCCTAACCCATAGTTTTCATTTCTACCAAACTCCAAATAATTTGACCGTGGCGTGCATAAACGTATCAACTCGTCGGTTAAGAAAAATGACCTATGCGCTCATTTTGTAAATAACGATGTTTTGAGTGCTATGCATCAATCTCAACCAGAGTTGTCATCTGTTGAAAAATAATGAAAAATATTGGAGCCTAGTTTGGTAGTTTTCGCACGCTTGGAAGAGCGAATCCAGCCTCGAACTTCTCGCTGAATTTCGAGAGGCAGCTCATCAAGAACAGAAGGATCGACATCCTCGGCATTGAGATTCCATGAAGAATCCATCTGTTGATTCGAAATCCGGCCAAGACTGCTGTGTTCATCAACCAAAGGTTCTTTTTGGTGGTCTCTTAGATCCAGGCCTTCATGTTTCTCGCTCCCTGAACATGGAGTATAATTTCTATTTCTATGAACCAAGCAAAAAATGGGGAATTCCATGAAGCAATTTAAATAAGAAAGTGAATGGGGATTGAGCAGTACCATTTGGTACTTGCTTTGTGGAGGAATTGATGCCAGAAAAGAATCTCAAAATTGAACCCTTTCCCTGAAAAAAGAGTTGTGAATGTGTTAGAATATTGTGGCATTTACATATCACACAATTCTTATATATTTACACATCTCAGATCAAAATTGTCATATTTGCACCAATAGCACTCAAATTTTTAATATAGCTATTATCATTTTTAAAAGGTGATGCACCTTTTTCATGCATATAGATTTTTAAATGCATGAGAATTCTGTGCTACGCATGCAAAATTTCCCTAGAATATATAACATTTACTTGGAAGTCTTTTACTTGGCATAAGGTTTAGGAGGAGAAATGTAAGGAGAGAGAACTGGGATAAAGAGTGGGGAAGCTTTAAAGAACGGATGAGATTTATAGAGGATGGATAGCTTGTCAATCGATTTTCCATTCTTCATAGTTCTGGGGCGAGAGGGAAAGGGAGTAGGAATCAGATGAGGACTAATGGATGAAAAATTAATCAGTCAAAATTTACATACATACCATGTAATTCTTATGTATTTATATATCTAACACCAAAAATTTGATATTTATACTAATTACACATTGTTGTCACAAACCTATGCATGAAAAGGTATATTTCACTTTTAAAAAACTAGTGATGGTGGTATTTTTGATGTGATGTTAAGGATTTGAGTGGTATGCATGTAAATATGAATGTTTAATTGGGATATGTAAATACATAAGAATCGTGTAGTATGCATGTAAAGGCTCCTTCTATTTATTTGAAGGTCATGAAACATTGCAAACAAATCACACTTAATTTTCCTTGAAGGTTTTCTCTATATGGTAAAATTTCATTTCTTTCTCGGAAATTATCTGTTTCATCACTATTGGGTTGTTATGATGGCAAACCTTATCTTTATGCTCTCGGTTCTGCGTGCAAAAATCATCAATTTTTCTAGCTTGAGAGGGCACATGATCCACTTCGACAGATTTTTCATGAGCGAACGCTTGCTGATCTTCGTCGGATTCTGGTAACATATTCTCTTTGCTTCCTGAAAAAGGGAGGATAAAGAATTACTATCACCACTATATCATCATTATGAGTGGTTAGCCAAATCTTAATTAAATATTTCGAATCAGTTTTATTAATGTAAATAATGCAAAAAATATAAGCGAATTTGTGATAGAAACGCGACCTATGGATGATGAGGGAGCATCATCTTGGATGTCATCATATGATGCATCTGATATAGCAGAGGGAAAACTCTTCCCTTGAAGGAATCTCATAATTGAAGACGTTCCCTGTAAAAAGCATTAAAATTAAGGAAAATTTACACACATAACACAACTTCAAATTTTACAAAAATGCCACCTTACCTATGCACAAAAATGTGTGTTTCACACTTTAAAAGTTAAAGGGTGGTACTCCTGACGAAACACGAATGCTTTTAAAGGGTGCAAATGCTAAAAGTGAAGTTTAGGTGTTAGATATGTAAATACATAGGATTTGGGTGGTATGCATGTAAATGCCCCTTAAATTAAATAATGAAACACCATAAAGACAAAAAATATGCAGGAGTCGTCTGCATAACAGTATAACTGAATATCAAAGTTATTGGGTAAAGCAATGTAATATTCATAAATAAATAATAGAGATATGCAACCAAATGAACGAAACTTTGCACGGATATGATACATGAGTAGAACTTTCTCGCTAAGATTATTCTGTTATGGGAGATTTTAACTAATGATTACCAGGTCCAAAACTACTGATTTACTCATGTAGGAATAAAATAGAAGCCCCTAAAGACAAAAATAATAACTCCATTCACAATAATGCAACTTCTGAGATCTAGACATTGTTCCCCAAATTGTTGGAATGACACTAATTATGATAATGACAGAATTTTCTTTCTTAAAATGTTCCAAAATGTGCAGCAAACATTAATACCAGAATAATAATAACATTAAAATGAGAATGATAAATATGAGCGAAACAATTACATTCTTCATTGGATTCAAAATTAATCTTAAAGAATTAGCGCAAAGTTTGTATTAGGTTGTATATTATCCAAAGAGAAAAGTGTCAACTATTTGTTGGAGTCCATTTTAGTTTATAAAAGTGCAAACTTAATCTTCCGATTCTTTTACTATTTTAGGTCATATTAAAAGAATATGGGGATTAACTTTACACTTTTATGGACTCTGAGACTAAAATGATCCCATGTAAATAGTTTGGGGACTATTTTGACACCATACTCCTTATCCAAAACTCTACAATAGGAAAACCATCTGCTCAACAAAATAGTTCCAAAGCAAGAGAAAATTTCAGAAATTCATTGAACTTACAGGAGTATCCAGTATTTTGCTAGCAGACATGGAAAGAGAGGTTACTCTCCATGCATTGTTATGAGAGCCCAAATATTCACGGAGACCAGTATCAAAAAGTTTTTTAGCATCTTCTTGAATTTTATTTACACCATAGCGCAATGGGCATGACTTTGATGGAAATTTCTTGTGCGGCCCCATGTCGTCTGTCTGCAGAATGCATCATAATTAGAGTTTGCATAGTATTTCTGCAGAAATGAATAGCAGTCATTACTCAATAATATAAGAAGAAATGAAATTACTATTGCAGTTAAAACAATGATATTGAGAAACTGAGAATTACCTTAAATGCCCTTGCATGCAAGGTCAGGGTGTGTGCAACTCTCTTATTCTGATCCAAGTCTAGCTGAATGCGTTCGCTCAGTTCCTCACATAATTGATTAAGCCAACTCTCGACCTTCGCAAACCAAACAGTTATCAAGAGAATTGAAAAAAAATATAACAGATTAAGGTCTGATACTTGCAGATTGAATTATGAAAATCAAACAATAGTCCAAAAAACTCTATAGATATTTCTTGCTTTTTTTCTGGCTTGATAGATTTGTTGATCAGTGAGCGGGTTCATTAAAAGGGTTTACAAACTCTCTATAGAACTTTCCTGCCTTTTTTTATGGCTTTGTAGATTTGTTGATGGGCATATGGTACAGGGCTAATGTTGATAAAGAATCATTATTATATTATTCCTTCGAGATTCATGAAAACATTTATGATTAACTAAACATTTGTCATCATTTATTGCTAAGATAAAACAAAAACAAACATTTATCCCACAAAGTGAGGGCGGCTACATGAAACATTTTTCTCCATTGTCCTTTTGAGTGTCAGATTTTCATTTAATTCTAATAAATTAAGTTCATTTTTTATATAACTTGCCCAAGTCTTTTTAAGTCCACCTCTACCTTTCTTAACAAAAGTTGAATATAAAACATCTACTCTCCTAACCGAATCATCAGATGGTCGACGTTTAATGTGACCAAGCCATCTAATATGACTCTCTAATCTTGTTTGCCAGTAAAGCTACACCAACCCTTTGACGGAGACATTCGTTTCTCATATTGTCTCTATGTGTTAAGCCACTCATCCACCTAAGCATTCTCATCTCAACAACACTTAACTTCATTTTATGTTTCTCTTTTATAGGTCAACATTCACCATAAAGCATTGCAGGTTTCACCACCATCTTATAAAATTTTTCTTTTAACTCTAAGCGATACTTTTCTATCACACAGTAGGCCTTATGCATTTCTCCACTTCAACCAACCAAGTTGAATTCTACTAATAACATCCCCATCCATATCACCATTACTTAGAACAATAGACCCGAGAAATCTAAAATGTTCACTCCTTGTAATTATTTGATCACCCATTTTTACAACTGCGCCACTAGATCTACTACTACTAAAATTACATTCCATGTATTCAATTTTAGATCTACTCAAACGAAGACCTTTAGATTTAATGTAGACTTCCATAATTTAAGTTTTTCCTGAACTTTTTCAGTAGTTTTATCCACAAGAAGAGTATCATCAACGAAAAGCATACACCAAGGTAAATCCTCCTATAAATGTCCAATAAGAGCATCTATAACTAAAACAACAAGATATAGGCTTAAACCGATCTCTAATGTAATCCAACTGAAATAGAAAAATATTGGGGCAATCCTCCTATTGTCCAAACACAAGTAACAACTCTAGTATACATATCTTTAATGACTTGAATATGAGTCATATCAACACCTTTCTTTTCAAGATCTATCTAAAGAACTCTTGGAACCTTATCGTATGTTTTTTTCTAAATCAATAAAAATCATATGTAAATTATCCTTACTCTCTCTGTATTTCTCCATCAAACTTCTAAATAAATGAATCGCTTCCATAATAGACTTGCCGGTCATAAATCCAAATTGATTATGAGAAATCTTTGCATCACATCTTAACCTTCATTCCATTGCTCTCTCCCATAATTTTAATATACAACATATAAACTTAATTTCTCTTTAACTTACACCTTCCTGTGCATCCCCTTTATTCTTAAAAATGGGGGCTGAAATACTCTTCCTTCACTCCTCAAACATTTTTTAGTTTTTAAAATAATATTAAGAACTTTAGTAAGCCAAGAAACTCTCAAACCTCCTAAGGATTTTTACTCCTATTGAGATATCATTAGGTCCTACTAATTTTCCACAATTAATTTTCTTTAAAGTCTCCTCAACTTTCTTTTTACTAATGCGACGGTAAAAATTAAAAAAAAAATTATTATTATTAATGATATTAAGACCAGTAAGGTCGGTCATATTTTCAAAATTTTCATTGAATAGTTTATCAAAAAATTTCACCCACCTATGTTGAATATTTTCATACAAGAAAAGCACATTTTACTTTTCATCTTTAATATTCTTGAATTAAATTTTTACTTTTCTTTTATCTTTGTTTGGCTAGTTTATACATATATTTTTTCACCTTATTTAGTATCTAATATATTATAAAGAAAATTAAAAGCATATCATAAATTGTTCTCATAAGAAGATGTCTGAGATAAAAAGAGGAAAATTTAAAATTCCATACCGATCAAGTCTTACTTTCATTGGAGAGAATCGGGTGATTCCACAAGTCATGTTAACCTTTTCAAGCCCGTTGGATGATTTCCAAGGAATGCAAGCCTACCTTACACACTTTAGGTGCCTAGAAGAGATGTCTACAGTGCACGACTTACTTGATGTGTTCATTGGTGATTTAGTAGAGTTGTCATTTAATCAAGAGAAAAACTTCAACATAAACTTGTAACTCACAAAGACTCCTATTTCTAAACCTGTTTTTTATGGCAACAACCGAATTATTGGAGTTGCATGACTCACTATAGAACTTACCTGATAAAGGTTCAGCCCAATGTTTTCCCTTCGAGAGCATCCATATTGCTTGTTAAGAAAGATGGTGGGGTAGTATGCATTGACTGCTAGGAACTAAACAACGTAATTATTAAGAATAAATATCCACTGTCGCTGCCGACTAACTAGAAGGTGATAGTAATTCCCAAAGTAGATTTGAGGTTGAGCTATCACCAACAAAAGATCAACAAGCAAGACATGAAGAATACTACATTCAATATGCACTATGATTATTAATTATTTCTCATAATGTAGTTTGAACTCACCAACACCCCAACCATGTTCATAAACTTAATGAATCACGAGTTCCAACCTTACCTCGACAAGTTTGTGAAAGTGTTCATCAATGAAACCCTTCTTTATTTTAAAAATTTGATTGAACGTGAGTATATATTCACATCACGGTATTGACCTTCCAAAACATTTACCTTACATCTACGATATATTCATTCCACCAATCCCACTACTCTCTATTGTAGCCAAGGAAATTGAATTGATTTAAATTTATTTTATTTTATTTTAAATTTTAGATTTAATTCAAATTGAAATTTATACAAATTAACTTTTCATATAATATCAGTCATGAGTTTGAATTATTAGAGAAAATTTAACTAAATTTGATTTTAAATTTATCTTTTGCAATAACTTATATTTGGATCAATTGATTGATGAATGAAAATTAAATCTGCTTCTTTTCATATTTTATTTTTCTCTCGGGTCTCCCTCTTAATACATGATTCTTCAATTTTAATATTTCAATCTGATTTCTCAAATTTAATCAGCAATTCTATCTATATTCCTCAAAACTCTTGCAATAGAATCAAACTCATTATAGTGTAGTGTTTTAATAAGCATAAATTCTTGCGCGCGTGCTCACATACACACACACAAGACTAGAACCACATGGATTGCTCTCAGGGAATAATGTCAGTCAACTCGAAAAACCGACGAGACAATCTAGCTATCAATTTGCCCAAGCTATTCAACAAAGAACCCAACATGACAGTTTGCCCAAGATAGTCGACCTTCACGATTCAACCGCAGCAGTTTAGGCCACTCACCCAGTAGATCAACAAGCAGGCATGTATGACGACATTGAAAACAAACTCCCTTGAGACAAATAAATGGACCCAATTAGCTCGCCTTATGGTCGACTATGCCAACAAGAGTGTTACTAGAAGTGAAACATCTAAGCTAAAGTACTAATGTAAAGCAATTATCGAGACAAGTCAATATAATATACTAAATTCTCACATCAAAATAAAAAAGAGGATAAGGAAGCTAGCGGAGTGTGTTATCCTAACTAGCCAAAAAGACAAAAAAAAAGATGGATAAAAGATCATTTGAGATTCGTGTACAATAATGCATTATTTATAATGATATAAGAAATTCCCTTTGTATATAAGATAGATTGATATAATATAATGGAGGTATCTCGAGATTTAGGGGAGGTTGATATTTGTCTCATTAATTTTTTTTCCATTCAGATGAAAATCTCGATCTCATCCTTTTGTACCTACGGGTAGCAGTATGTGCACATACTGAAGGAAGAAACCCCCAATCTCGAGATTATTGCATGCTCGTGTTTCCCTTCGAGGAGGCAATCTGTGTGACAATTGAAATACTTCTACAAATTGTTGTAGGAGTTGTTGGATCGGTGCTGAAATCTCTGTCAATTTAGTATCATGTGTCTCTTCCATGCGATAAACCCAAACATAGGCATCCTCTCCTTAAATAATTGACATCTTCAGTTTCCTTATGTGTGAGTCTCCTCTAAAATTTCCTCTACCGAAGCTCATTCCACCCATGAAATGGGTGTTAGGTTCCCTTCCTCGACCCATCGTGATTTTCCTTCTTCCATAAGTCTGACTCTCCTCATAATTAGCTCGCCTATCCCCATTGGCTATTGATCTCCTTCCACCAGAAGGTTGTCGAACCCAAAAGCACTAGAGCGGTTGGACGCAGCTCTCCATTGGGGTCCCACCCACAATAGTTTGTTTCAGGTCGAAATCCTTCGAATCGATCTTTTCAACCCTCGAATCACACGTTGTTATGTTCTTTTTGATGCAGTTCGTTTCAAAATTCCATATCTCATGCACTTCCCTCCAGATGTTGCCACTCAAATTTGCTCCACTCCTTCGCTCATTCCAGACTGCTTCTGTTTGTTCCAGTTGTTTGTCATGTTTTTCCCTTCCAAATGTTGTCGCTGAAGTCTGCTCCTGATTCCTTTACTCAATCTCGCTGCTTCAGATCTACCTAAGGCAGCGATGCTTCTCTGATACTACACAAATCCTTTAGATTGCTGCAGCTCGCATCTGCTCCTAATACAGTTACTCGATAGTATTGCGGGTGGAGGTGGTTTTATGTGAAACTCCATAATCTTCTTTATCATTTATTCCACAATCGTGAATCTCTCCTCAAACCGTCTTTCCATGGATTAGAAAAACTCCTCCATTTCATATGTGCTTTGGCTCATTTCTTATTCTAAATTCCCCTCCAAAGTATCTATTTCTTTGGTTGACATTACTCCCAAGGCGTTTTAGATCCTACAAGTTGAAATCCCTTCATTGGTTTACTCAATAGCCCAAATCGCGGCTAGATAGGGATAGGAAGGCCACAATCCTGTCGACGGCTTCCCAGAACGTGAGGTTCGGTCACTAGGGCATGCCTAGTCCCGTCGTTGGCCTCTCGGATCACAACTACGGCACGCCTAATCCCATAATTGGCTTCTCTGATCTGATACTTGTAGGTGATCGTGTCGTAGACTTCCCAACTATCACGATCCCGACTTCCCAACTAGTTCTTACCGCAACTGTATTTAATCCCGTCTTCGACTGACGCGACTATATCGCAATCTCACAATTTCATCATTTGTTTCCCAGAGATCTATTGTTCAAATACCAATTTGATAGGAAAGAGATAAACTTCGATAGAAATTTGGGTAACATAAAATATTTTTTATTTCACTAGCTCCAAACAACACAACACCATACATAAAAGATAAACACCTACAATTCAAGAAATAGACGATATATTCCAACACCTATAATTTGAGAGGTAGGCGAGAAGCAAATAATATCTTCCAACGCCTGTAATTTGAGAGTTAGGCTATCGCTTCCAAACCCTAACCCTAAAATTCAAGACAACAATCACACGTGCCCCAACCCGAATCCTATGAAGCCATATTTATATCAAACAATAATAAATAATAATTTATTAAATTGCACTTTTAGTCTTGCGCCTAAAATAAGCCTTCAAATTATTTGGAGTGCACGATGTGGCGGAAAATGTCATAGGTGTTAGTCTAACATAGTCATTTGGGTGGCAAGTGAGAGAGAGAGAGAGAGTTCTTACAGCAGCAGTAGTCTTCAATGCTTTTGGTCCGGGAAAAGTTTTTCCACAGCCATGGCTCTGAGGAAGAACTCGGCCCTTGACTTCATCCCCACTAATACCTCGAGCGGTATTCCATAACCAGGTACTGGAGTGGCAATCCAACAAAATGCAATTTTAGATGTTAACACAGCAATTTTGCTGCATATCTGGAATTAACATTTCGTGAACACCATATGTCAATATACATGTGAATGCTCCGTTTGGTTCTAATAAATAAATGAAATTTGAGATTTTTCATAAACTAATGTAATTCAAACAGTTGAAATGCACAGAAAACTGCTTCAGAAGTAGCAAAATAATCTTCACAAATGTTATGAATGTGTTTATGGTTGTAAAATAATAGCAACAAATTAATTGAAAGTCATGAATGAGCAGCCGCACAAGTAAACATAGAAATAGCCAGTAGGCATCCATCCTTTTCCTTAAAAAGTCATTATGTTTGAACTTATTGCCCCGCACAACATATCTAAGGTGGCATATATCAATTTACAACATTTACGTAACTTACCACTTACTAAAAATATAACATAGTAATCAAAAGTATAAGTGACATCCACCCTTTTCCTTAAAAAGTCATTATGTTTAAATTTATTGCCCCGCACAACATAGGTGGCATATATCAATTTACAAAATCAACGTAACTTACCACTAACTAAAAATATAACATAGTAATCAAATGAATTATACTCATCATGTAGCTACTCTATTATTAGTGTAAACAATGATGCCGCACCCTGTGTTAAAGCCGTATCGTTCTTGAAGCTTCTCTTCAGAAAATTTCAGTAAATCACCAACAGTGTTTACCCCAAGATCATCCTGTAAGGAGCTTCCAAGTTTTCCTCCAAGCTGTTTCCTGCAAACAGTAAATCTCAGAATGCGTTATATCCAATGCATGGAGAAAATCTTGAAGAAGTGTTGATGATAAATCAAAATTATTAGAAAAGGAAGAGTTTAATACAGAAAAATTGTTAATGAAAAATCACAGTTAGCAGATTAAGAAAGAGTTTGAGATAAAAAAGCATCAGATGGATGGCAAAGGAATAATTTGCAATTCATAGTAAAAACATGAAGGAAAACGGATAGATACATTTTCTTTACAGGCAAAGAAGCAAGAAGGTCTCGTACTGCTGATGACGGTACAATTGTTTGCTGTGCTGGTTTGTGCATTCCACTGGCAAGTTTTGCCAACATCTGAGAAAACATAAAAAATACTATTTCAAGAGCAAATTTTCAAATAAAAAATTTATCAATAAATTGGAACTGATAAGAGCATGAACTACAGTTGCTTTTATTGACTATATAAGAATGACAGTATGGCTCTTTATTTGATGTCAAGAATAGATAAATTTATCCAAACTTGAGTTCGGCTCATTTGGATCAGTCAAAAGGCTTTTAAAATTAGGAGTGAAAAAAAATTAAAATGGTTGCAAATCTCAAATTTATGTTCAATAAGTTTAACTTGTATAGATTCTATAGCAAACAGGTTAGTATTCCAAAATCACAAATCCTACCAAGCCAATAAAGCATCAAATTACATTCCATCACTTTAACAAAACGTACATCTAACTTATTTTTTGTTGATTAGTCTACTTGAACTTCCAATTAGAAATAAAAAGTTGGATATGCACAAGAGGACTATGTAGATGTTGAACACAATTTATAACATTAAATAATGGAATGTATTTGACACCCCATGGTTAAAACTGCAAATTTATGTTGTATGGCATTATTATCCCAGCAACCATTAAATGTAATGTTCCACGGCCAATAGTGCAATAAATCGAGAATTCCCAAGACTGAACCAAACCTATAAAAATCAGATGGCCCAGCTTCCATTCTGACCTGTATCAGCAGAAAGTATACACGCCTTCTCATCATCACGAATCATATGATGCCCTGCTAAACTGTCAATCAATGCAAAAATTAAGCGCACCTCTGACTGCCTCAACTCACCAATTTAAAGAGGTCAAAAGTCAGGGCACCATCCTCCTTATATTTTCTTTCTCCCGTGCTGAGAAACCATCCTCCTTCTTCCTCTTTAACTGACAGCCGCTCGCTGACCCTTCTCCTTGTTCCTTTCAGCAAGAACATTTAGTTCTTATTTTTCTCTCACCACCAATCATATCTTCCTCTTTCACTGTATTGTTATTGCAGCCTTGCCATTTCATCTTCTCTGCTTCTCTGATTCAGTAGGTAATAAGAATTGGGGTTTTCGTTTTTCAGTTTACCATAGATTAATCATTTTTATCATTTGTTTTGTAAGCTAGTTTAGATTATAGTTAAATGCATGAAAATTTGTGTTAGATAAAATAGATTTATAGCTATAGGAGATTATAAGATACTTTATGCTTGTAGATTTAATGTTCGAACAATAATGATTGACTAGGCTGGTTATAGGGTAAGTTAGGTTGATAAGGTTCACCCTATTCCAATTATTCCTATGTTTTAATGCCTTCATCTATGCGCATATGACTAATTTAGAGTTGTGATGTGGAGGACCTTTGGCACCTGGTGTGATTGGTTGGATCTTGATTACAGTTAAAGTTTGTATATCATACTTTGAGGTACATAACTGTTATTTATTGAATAATAAGCATACCCTTCTTCTTAGAGGCGATACCTATAATATAACAGACTCGTACCTATTTTATATTTGCCAGTCCAGCATTTAATACTTATTTCTTCCTATACATATTTTCATAGATCACTTTTCAACATTCATAATGAAATATCAAATAGCATGCATAGATAGCTTTCTCATAATTTATTGCTACATAAATTCCCGAATATCAAAATAATTCACACAGCAGAAAAGTCCATTTTCATATATGTTGTACTAATTGAATACCATAAATTTTATTCTGCCAAATTATGTTTTACCATGAAGATAGCACCATAAATTTAATCCTGGCAAATTATGTTTTATCATGAATATAGCGCTGACATATTGATCATATAACATCTGTTAAATATTTTCTTATAAAGTGCATGTAATGATATGCATGTCAATAAACCCCTTTTGATATTAGCTAGTCAGGCCAATGGGTAGAGTCCACAGAAAAATCATTGCATCTTATCTATATTTTCATATTCCAAAGTGTTATAGTAAAAATGATTATAAATACATATACGGATATAAAAAGTTGATGATAAATGACTAATAAATTATATTTAAATATGTATGAGTATACCTGATGTTGTGACATGAGGAGACATCAGTATAGAGTGGCATTAGAAAATAATGATATTGTAGATTACTTTAAACATATGACACTCTTT